GAGTTTTATACAAGAGGGTAATCTCAAAGAACATAAGAGGATCCACACTGGAGAGAAACCATTTGTCTGTGAAAAGTGTGGAAAGTCTTTTACACAAAGGTCAAATCTTCGTAAACACATTACAACCTGTGAGAACCAGGTCTGAAGACGCTAATGCAAATGCTGCGGAACAAATTGAATCGAGACAGAGCTGAGGCTGGCACCATGTGAACCCAAAGGTAGATTCTACAGGATCTCACTTCAGTCTGTCCATAAGTGCTGACACTACTTGGTAATTCAGAATGTACTAAAAATAACTTAGTTGACTGCGCACGCGTGTATGTTTCGGATAAACGTTGTGTGCAATTCCATTGAGTTCTGTTGTGTTTTTATTTGGGCTAAAACATTGAATCGTGGTGACAACAAAACACTGCAGCTATTGTACCTGTTGTAGCGATTCCAGATACTCTGATAAGGACTATATGAAAGCGGTAACATTCATCTCGTATATAAAACCGCACCATGCCATCAACAAGTGCAGCAGGCGGATTCGTGCTTTTGGCTGGCAGAATTTAAAAAGGACATATTTGTTCTAGGGCTGTCAAAATTATTGCGTTAACGCACGTTAATTAATTTTTTTCATTAATCGCGTTAAAAAAATTAACGCATTTGACGCATGCCCATGCGTCCCATAATAACACTCAGAATGCCGCGGACACATCCGTTTGTAAGATGGGGACAGAGCAGGTAGGCCCTCTGGGAATTCAAGTTTTGAAAGAATACACACGTGACCGCGAAGCACTTGTTTCCTGTATGAACTCTGCATGATGAGCTGCGGGCGCGACAGCGCTCTGGACAGCAGCACCACCTCCAGCGGCTGTGATCACGGCGAACGGCGCTGCGTCATGGGATCATATCCAAGACCACGCACAGAACTATTTCAGAACTATTCTCTAGTGTGCGTACGTGTCTTTGCGTAACCGATGCACACAATATGTACAGCGCTGAAGCTGGACTGCGGAGCCTCAGTCTCCGTGTCTTCTCCCAAAGCGCACTCGCTAAATTAAAGGTGTGAGCAAATCAAACAGATTGAATGACATTCTGCCTTTCAGACTATTTTGAAATGTCCCTCATCTGTAACAATGGTTTTGGTCTGAGTCTAAACAGAAAGACAGAATGTTAATAATGTTAATTCCATTTTATATGGATTTATTGTTATAACAAACAAATACAGTTCATATGTTCACTAAGCTGTCATTTATCTTTCCATTCAAACAACCATTTACTGAAAAATATGGCATAATTTTGCCAATAGTTTGAAATGTGATTAATTATGATTAATTTAAGATGTAATTAACTCGATTAAAAAAATTAATCGTTTGACAGCCCTAATTTTGCACGACCCTTTCTCTTTATACCATTTACCCCCATCAATCAATATAATTATTGCTTGTCCTAATCCAGAATTTATGCAAATTCTCTCATCTGAAGAAAGAAAAGGGATTTTTTTCAACTTCGTGACTATGTAAAGGATCATGTATAGTAAGCAGGTCATCATCGGAAAATAAGTACCAACAGGGCGAAGCGTATCCTGACGTGGAGTGGCTTATTTTATGGCTTTGTACCAACTGAACACATAAAAAAAACTTCAGTCCACTTTTATGAATGCAAAGAAAATGGTTTCCAAAGGTTTTTCCTGTGCCGTGGCAAGGCAAGTAACAGTTACTGTAGGCTAGCTATCTTCTTCCAAACTAGAACTCTCTCAATCCACCTAAACTGAACAAAGAATTCTGAACATCAGCGCTGAGTGACCCAAATATGAACTCAACCTAAATCCACATTTCAATCCTCTGCAAATGCGTCCTAAAATGTTCTATTGATGTTCACCCTTTAAGCGCCAGAGGTCTTTTTTTCTAAAACTGTTGATTTTTAAATCTTGATTTCATAAGGCTATAACTTAAGTGATAAGAGGATAAATCCACCCATATAATTTGCATATTATGACGTTACATGGCGTTAGAAATTGTGGATTTTAGAATTCTTACAATATTTTTATTTTTCTAACTGACAGACATAATGATCACTAGGACATGATCAGACACAGAACACACACTGTAACTTTGTAAATGTTCAGGGAAATAGAAAAAAAACAAATCATGATGCTGCTGTGAGCAGTCTGCCCAGACGCGCACCTCCAGTTAAAGCGCGCCCGAGTGTCACCGCGACTCTCCTGCTCCTATGTCTCTCCTGCTCTCTCTCGTCTAACAAACAAATGACAAATGCCTCCTTTCCATAGTAACAGTACCGTACGGTATGACACGGCACGGCCGAGTCACAAGGACACTCGTTGACCAATCAGTGAAAGGCAGTTTTGCAACGTCACGTCATGGTTTTGGTACGGCGCGGGTGGAACCACAGTCGAGGTGGTACGAAAAAAGTATGCAAACTCTGATACTAAACACCAGTGGAAATGCAAAATAACAGCGCCGTAACATACCGTTACTGTGGAAAACGCTGCACTCGCTTCGCTATGCTTTCCGCACTGGTTGAACGCGGTCTTGCTCGAATAATTTGAATGGGAGCATGACAATATTTTGGGCCAGGGAAGTAGTCTAACGTGCCTGCCAACTAGTGGCAGTCGACCGTGGCACCTAGAGGGTTAATAGTTACTTGCGGGTTTTTCTCTTATTAAAACAGCATTTTTGTCACGAAAATGTTAACAGATAATTCCGTAAACCTCCTTGCAAAGAATGTATAATGAATTATGTATTCTCCGATTGGCATTTAAATGTGTTGATTGACTGTTATGTGTGTTTTATTGAGCGTGGCTAGCTCTGATTGCTTCTCTCTGCAGAGGCCGTAGGGACGTAGCCCGTTGTGACCCCATGGATCTATTATAATATCGGCTGACCGTAGCTAAATAGATGATCAATCTAATTAAAGTTAAGCACAGTGCAAAAAAAAAACTTGATAAATGGAAGTTAATCACCGCAAAATAAACAAAGAAGGCGCTAGCATTGCAATTCAAATTACCAGATAATGTTAGCATAGTCCTCACCATTACCTTTTTATCAATTCAAACTTTCTACCAGTTACTGCTAGACCACAACATCCAAGCAAACGTTTTAATTGGTCTACACCAGGGGTGCTCAATACGTCGATCGCGATCTACCAGTCGATCACAAAGGTAGTATTGGTAGATCGCATTAAATAAATAAAAAAATACACATTCTAAACGAATATATACAAAAAACTCCGGGCAAAGTGGAGATTTTTGAAAACTCCGTTAATGCATTTGTGTGTAGACAGAGATAACCAGAGTTTTGCGTTCTCGCACGCCACAGTACCCCCCTAAATTCCTCTGATCACTGAAGCATGGATCATACTACCTTAAAATCTGTTCGCTGTGAGATGCTCGCAGCAGCGAACATCCTCGCTCCACATCAGAGAGCAGCAAAGTGATCGCGGGGACTCACGCTCGAAAACAACCAAACCAGGACTAAACCAGGACTAAACCAGGGCTAAACCAGGGCTGAGGACGGGGTCAGTGCTTGTAAACATACGTCTTTACTCTGAGTGTCTTCTATGACTGTAAAAGTGCCGTTACCGGCATCTGCATCAAAGCTCCGCCCACTTCTGTGTTTTTCCCCAACGCAGGACAGGACGTAAGAGACGCACATGTTTGGAATGTTACGAATGTGATTGATAACGCAGATGTGTGGATGCAAATTATTTTATAAACTGAGGAGGGGAAATATTTGGATTTTAAAAAAATAGGCATGGCACATGGACATGGCACCACAGTCAAATGACATCTGTGTTTTACTCAGTAATGTTTTACTGACACTTAGGTGCCTGCACATGCGCAAACAACCGCGCTCAGTGCAGGAAAGCTAAACCACGACAAACTTGTCAGCGAGTTACCACCAATTTTCCGGACTATGCATCCCTGGCCGATTCAATTCAGTGCAAGTCATCAGAGTAAACTCGGGTAATGACAAAAAATGTACATAGGTAATTGTGTTGTGTTGTGCTATATTGGCTCATGCGGTTTTGCATGTACATAAACATACATTGTAGATATAAAGAATATTTTTTGTAATAAATATATGATTTGCATTTTTGTAGTAGGTAGATCATTTTGACTTGATCCTTTTATAAGTAGCTCGCATGCTGAAAAAGTGTGAGCACCCCTGGTCTACACTATGATCCCCGATGGTTTGATGGTGGAATTTGACTCCTGGTATATCATTTTCGTCTAAAGTGACAAGTGGTATTTGATTCATTTCGGAAGTATTTGTCCGAAACATGTGGGCGGGAGTTGACAGGCGGGGGTGTGTCTTAGTGATGTCATTTAGATAGTCTGCTCTATGTACATAGTTTTTTTTACTGTTAATTGTTGTTTATTGGACGTTCATAGAAATTTGTAATGTTTTATGTTTTTTTTCTATAAAATCAAATAGACACAGTCAAACATTTGTCTTGCGTCTTTCTTTGATTTATTTCTGTGATGGATTTTTTTGTTTTCCTCTACACTTCTACAGCCAATGATGACCAAGATGGCTGACGCCGGTTGTTTGAAGCCTTTTTAATCTCAGCCTTTTAAGTGATATTTTAGAACCCACGTTTTATCACTTGTTTTAATCACGCAAATCGATTGGATCATGCGCCTTTTATCTGTACCTCAAAAGGACTGTCATCACTCCCTGAACTGTATAACAACCTTCGAAAGTTGCCGCTAGCAACTCTGCTAACTTCTGTATACGTAACCATGGACACAGCACCTCCTCCCGTTTACATCTGAAAATAAATCTATAAGTCACAACTCTGTTCATCCAGCTCAATAATCAAGAAACCAGCACGCACTATATCACCCAAAGAACTGCAATTGACTGTCAATAACCTCTCTATCAAACTGAAACACAAAGAATCACTCCTGGAACACTTCATGGACATTCCATTTAAACAAGCACAACACCTCTAAATTTCAGCTCACCACGACACTATTCTCTGAGACCCTTTCATCTGCCCAAACCCCTCATCCTGCTCAACCCCACTCCACAGCAATACCTTGTGCGTTGTGGTCCGAAGAAAGGATCCGCTCGCTCCCAGATATCCCAGTGCATGGCCATCCTCAGAGCCAGAGAAACCTGGAAAAGAAGCCACGAGACAGCAAACCATTTTTATCCAAAAGATAACTGATATCCGGACCCATTGTTTTAAATAGAGAAACTCTGGATTTTAATTGTTTTACTAATTTTATGCCTTTATCCCTTTCTCTTATCAGAAGTTTTATTCCACATGAAAGCAACCACATGCAGCCTCAATGTTTTAGAGAAAATAAAATCTAAAATCTGAAAAACAATTAACGACAACCACTTTGAGAAATTCCAATCCGGTTTTAAAGCACTACACAGTACAGAGATAGCCCTCCGTAGAGTTTCTATTTTAATTCTTTTAGATTTAAGCTCTGCCTTCAACACAATATTTTATTGGTTCGCCTCAAAACGTGGGTTGGCATCAGAGATACTGCACTTGGTTGGTTTTATTCTTATCTTAGACAGAACCAGAAGCGTCCCGTGCCATTAGGCAAGGCAGGCAGCTGCCTGGGGCCCACAAACTGGCAGGGGGCCCCCGAGGGCCGACTGATTTGACACAGGCGGTCGACTTGTACAGGCTACAACAGCTTACCTGCAGTGACGAGTTGGCGAATAAAAACTTTTCGTCTGATGCGAAACTTGCCACGTTCTTTATTAACAGTTAAAAACCCTTCTGGGGCCCTCCATGTATTGAATTTAATAATGGTCTAGTGGTTAAGTTACAGTGCTTGCGTCGCAATGGCCCGGGTTTGAATTTAGAGTGAGAACAGTGTTTTGGATTAAACTATATATTATAGTCAATGACAGATTGCTCAAGAACGGTAAAAGGTAAAAAGAAGCAGTATTTTGCAGATTAAAGCTAAGCGCTAAGATTTTGTAGGATTAATACACTTTATGTATGCTTTTGTAATTCATTATAACATGAGTGTAGTGAACAAGCTTATAAAAAGACATTGCTTTGTGTTACTATGTACTGAAGTACTCACTATTTTCTATGGACTGTACAGTTTGCCAGGCAGGCCCCAGGTCTATCTATTTATTATAAATAAGAAATTATCTACATTTAATTTATAAACAAGTAATAGATATTGCATTTTACCTTATTAAATATATATTTATACCTACTGGAATATAAACCTTGTGGTCTGTATCGGGGCCCACAAGGACTCTTGCTTGGGGCCCCGGGGTACCCTTGGAGCTTGTCCTGGAGCAGGGATGGCAGGATGGTGTTAAAGGCAGAGCTGAAGTCCAGGAACAGGGCCTGGCATAGGTCCACGGGGAGTCCAGATGCTGTAGGATGGAGGGCCAGGTTAATGGCGTCGTCTACAGATCAGTGGCTCTAGACGTGAACCAAGTCAACTGCAGACGCCAAGAAAACCGGAAGTAGGTCCATGGGGATGGTGGGTCTAATGCAGGGATTAAAGAGTTCAGTCTAGGTGATGGATTTCCGTCAAATGAAATTGGTCTGAAAAAAATTATATACATATATAAAATACACACAACGAAATGGTTAATTATAAATATATAGTAATACATATATATAACAGATTCACACGTATATCTATTGATTATCATAAACATTTGAATATAATTGTATTTATATGTATATTGAAATAAAAAAGTAATATAATCACGAGTGGGCCTTGAACGTGCCGTGGCTAGCTACTTGAGCGCTCCGCAAATTAATCAAGGCAATGGGACGGAGCTGACCTAACGCGCAAATGAAGACGCGGCCAAGTTAGCAATGGTAACACGGAGGTGAACGTTTCTGGAAACTGCACGGAGCTTTTGAAAAGAAGAGAAGGAAAATTGAAACCCGAACGGAGCAATAAACCCCAGTTACCTAATGTAACTAAGGTTCTATGAATATGTTGCGAAGCCCTTTAGGCTTCCCGCCCTGAGAAGATCAAACGATCCACCCTCCAATCACCTTCACGTCCTGGCGTAGGCCAGTCCCCTATAAATAGGGCCATGCACCACAGCTCTTCTTTCGAACTCAGCCGAATAAGAGAGGGCAGGCCTGCTGGGCAGAACCTTAGTTACATTAGGTAACTGGGGTTTCTATTTCATATGTTGCTTCGCCCTTTAGGCTTCGCTAATGCATAACATAGCGAAGCCCAGACCGATGTACTCCCAGCAGGCATGAACTCCGGTGATTGGAGCAAACTCGTGACCCACGTGCTCATACCGCAACCAAGCGGTAGAGACGGAGGTCCCACGAGCCATAGAGAAAGGGATGGCGGGCCACCTCTCCCAAGAGTGCCCGCTCATTCCCCAACCTGCAAAGCAGGAAAGAATTCAGAACAAACCTGGGCAGGCAGCCTCTCCCAAGAGCGCCTGATCCCCAGACGTATAAAGCAGACTGCAGAAGGGCCTAGGCCGCCTCTCCCAAGAGCGCCAACACCTCTCCACACAACCCCCCCCCCCTGCAGACGAGTTCTCACCGAGGTCTGTCGAAGGAGGAACTAGGGCCGCTCTGCACTCAAAACCGAATGAGCCACAGAGTCAGAGGCCACCTCCAGTAGGTAAAACTGCACAAAAGTCGAGGAGGAGGAGCAAGACGCCGCTCTGCAGATCTCCTCCACCGAAGTGCCATGAAACAAAGCCACCGAAGCTGCAACCCCGCGAGTGGAGTGAGCCCTCAACTGGGCTGGAGGCAGCAAGCCCTGAGCTTCATACGCCAAACGGATAGCAAGGCGAAGCCAGTGAGCCAAGCGCTGTGGAGACAAAGCAGCACCCTGACTCCTGGTGCCAAACCCCACAAACAACTGATCCGACCGTCTGAGGTCAGATGTGCGGTCCAAATAGCATCTCACAGCCCTGACCGGAGGAGGGAAAAACGGTCTCACCCAGACCACCCTAGATCTGAAAGACGACGTGACGACCTTGGGCTGGAAGGCCGGGATAGGGCACAACTCAATCATGCCCTCCCGATCGGGGAGGGACAAACAAGACGGCTGCACGGAAAAGGCGCACAGATCCCCAGACCTCTTGGCCGAAGCCCACGCCCACAACAATGCCGTTTTGTTGGACAATCATTCAATGGTCGCATTGTCCAGGGGTTCAAATGGAGGCCCTGAAAGGCCAGCCAAGACCACCTGAAGGTCCCAAGACGGAGCCGACCGCCGGAGGGGAGGCCTGATCCTGCGAGCCCCTCGTAGGAACCGTGCAGAGTGGCTACCAAACCCCACGTGCCCAGTGGTAATGGCCGCCGCGAACACACCCAGAGTGGCGGCCGCCCTTCCATTTCTCCAGCAAGAACTGGAGAAAAGCCAAGACCTCCTGGATGGAACACTAGGTGGGGTCCAACATCTGTCCACGCACCAAGAGGCGAAGAGTTTCCAGCGAACCTCATACGCTTTGGTGGTGGATGTAGCCCTCCCACCCTGAATAGTAGCGACCACTGAGGGAGGGAGACCAAGGCTCAACATGAGCCTGCTTCCCAGGACAGGGCGTGAGTAATGGGCTCCCCCTGCCTGTCTCAGAGCATCAGGACGGTCCGGAACGGGCCAAGGCGGACTGAGCGCCATGCTCACCAGGTCCGGATAGCACCTGGCTCCCGGGCTGTCCGGCGCCACCACCAGGATGGAGACCCCCTCTGTCCTCACCCTGTAAAGCAGGGCTGCCAAGAGCCGGAGAGGAGACCGTTGGGCCACGACCGGTGCACCACAGTAAGTAGTAGTAAGTAAGTAATCTTTTATTTATATACCGCCTTTTCACTGCACATCGGAGTCTCAAAGCGGTTTAAATTGTTATTTTTAGGGCATTTGTCCTCTCACTCCACACAGAGATGGGAGCGGGGTCGCCAGTACAGGAGGCGCATGCCAGACCTATTGTACATATTTTTAGTGGTAGGGGAAACCGGAGTACCCGGAGGAAACCTACGCAGACACGGGGAGAACATGCAAACTCCACTCAGAAAGGCTCTGGTCCGACCGGGATTCGAACCCAGGACCTTCTTGCTGAGAGGCGAGAGTGCTATCCACTCAGCCACCGTGCCGCCTGGTGGCAACAGTGGTGTCGTCCGTCCGAACAATCACCTGTCTGGTCATGAACTGGGCCAGCACCAACCGCATCGCCTCCAATTCCAGGTGGTTGATGTGCCCCAAGGGGGAGGACCAAACGCCTCCTGTCGAGTGGTGGCCGAGCACGCCTCCCCAACCACTCAGTCAGGCGTTCGTGAAGACCTCGATGTGGTGGTCCACAACACCCATTCGAACTCCCTCCTGGAGTCGACCTGGGGACAGCCAGAAGGCGACGTCGTTCTGAGCCCTCACCGACAGTCGCTCCCTCCGTGATAAGCCCCTGAGGTGTGAGAACCACCTCTGGAGACTGACAACCCCAGTCTCACCACTGGATGGGCCGCTGCCATCATGCCCAAGAGTGACTGGATCTGCCGCGGTTGGACTCGAGGTTCACCCAGAACGATCCGGCCCAGGTTCTGAACCGCCGCTTCTTTCTCTGGCGAGAGTGAAGCCGTCATGCTCCTGGAATTCAAGCCCAGTTCCAGATAAGAGATCTCCTGGGCCGGGCACAGGGAGCTTTTGTCCCTATTGATCACAAACCCTAGGTGAGCACGTGATTTAACACTCTGGACGTTTGATCCTGCGCATCCTCCCGGGAGGACAGGATCACCATTCGTTGATATACGTCAGTGTCCTGAGGCCCTGACACCGAAGGGGTTCTAGCGCCGCCTCCACACACTTGGAGAAGGTGCGGGGGGGCTAGGGAGTAGCCGAGTGGGGGACCGGAGGAACTTCTTGTGCCCCCGTGCAATGGGTTTGTGGAAATTCGCGTCCTTGAGGTCCACGGAGGACCTCCAGTCCCCGGGCCTGACGCTCAGGAGTAGCTGTTTACTGTGAGCATGCGAAACAGTCGCTTGGCTATGCAGCCATTGAGGACGAGCAGGTCCAGCATGGCCCGCACCCCTCCGCACTTTTTTTAATTTAAAAAAAAAAAAATTTTAGGGACTATGAAGTATGGAGAGTAAAACCCTGTCCCTGCCCTGAGCGGGTCTACCTCCACTACCGCCTGGCGCTGCAGAAGCGTGTTGACCTCCCTGTGAAGCGCCACGGCGTTCTGGAGAATGCCGCAGAAAGGAGGGGGCCGCCAGGAGAACTGGCGAGCATAGCCCCGACTCAGCGCTTACGTGGAGCCGGGCCCCCGCTCCCAAACACTGTGGACTGAGAGGGGGCTGAGCAGTCACACTTATTACAGTGGGAGGCCCCTGGGAAGAGGGTGTCAGGGATGAAGCAGACAGAAACGGATCGTGGTGCGCCAAACTCTGGAAGTTTATTTAAGTTTCTCTCAAGTTCCAGTGGTTTCAATTGTTTCTTTCTCTCAGACAGAATAAAGGCAGTACACAGTTTATATAGTCATTGTCACGTCTCACATGGAAAGACGTATGTGTCACACAGAGACAGTCACATCATAGTCAAAATAATCAGAGTCCTTGTACAGTTCTGCACGTAGGCCATATTGCTATCTAATACTAACAAGGGCTTGGCCCTAGCTGCAGCCCTGGGCCTTTTTCCAGGTGGCCGCGTGAGGGCAGGTGTGCTGTGCTTACGTGAAGCTGAGCCCCCGCTCCACAACACTGTGGACTGAGAGGGGGCCGAGCAGTCCCACTTTTTGCAGTGGGGGGGCCCCTGGGACAAGCCAGACAACTGGGGCTTTCTCCCGCGGCACGACGCCAGCCCAGGCAGAAGACGTGGCGGTCAGTCTGGGAGAGTGCCGCTGGGCACAAGTCGCAGATCCGCAGCCTGACACCGGAGGGTGGCAAGTTCTCAGGCACGGGGATCTTGCTTGAAGACATCCTAGCAAATGAATCGAAGCTTCTCTTAGGCAAGCTGAGAGAGAAAGGAGGAGAGCTGTGGTGCATGGCCCTATTTATAGGGGACTGGTCTACGCCAGGACGTGAAGGTGATTGGAGGGTGGATCGTTTGATCTTCTCAGGGCGGGAAGCGATGCTTCCGAGAGATATGCATTAGCGAAGCCTAAAGGGGCGAAGCAACATATGAAATAGAACAGCCGGGAGCCCCGCGGACCGGTAAGGTAGGCGCGTTACCAAAGGAAAGGTAGGACATAATTAACGTTTACCAAACACAATGCTTTTTTATTTAACAGAATGTACAATACGTACATTGCTGTGACTGGGAATGGGGACAAACATGTCTTGGTGAGCTTTTGATAATATCTTGGTTGCGATCCACATGCAAAACTTAGCGTGATAAAAAAGAGCCAATCAACGAGAGCGAACGGAAGAAACTCGCTAAAGAAAGGTGTGTTAGCGCGTCTTATATTCAGTTATCAACGCTAGCCTAGCATGCACGCACAATCACGGATTGTCGTTTATGGAAGAAGGAGCAGTACAAGTTGCTATTGATAAAAAATAAATGGAGGTGGGCACGGCTGGATGAGGTGGAGACGATGGGATTCCGTTGCTTCATGGTGCAAAAAGATGAAGGTGGCCGGTGCTTGTTCATACGTCGGCATAATTTATTAATACGGGAGTAATGAGAAAACAGTTTTGATTCGTCACCAGCTCAAAACTGTGCACGAGGCAGCTGTTCATGCACTCTCCCACACTTCATCTTTACCTGGTGCATCAGCGACAACTGAGACTAGGCTTGCTCTGGCGGACCGTGTCTGTGACCTAAAACTATCTGTGGCTTTATCGCAGAAAATAACCTGTTGTTCAGAACCATCACTACCGCTGTTAGATTTAATTATCATTAATCATTTGCGGTTGATCAAACTGCACTGTGCACTAGCCACTAAGTTGAAAGGGAAACCCTTTTCTTAAACATTGAGAGTCCACAAACAAACGTGGACAGAATTTTGAATGTCCTTTTGCGATATTTTGACGAGGACAGAGCTGTTGCAACTACTCTCACTAATATTCTGTTGCTTGATCCACTTAATTTCACATCAAAATACACCAGTTTAAATTTAAGATAACGTTTGGTTTGTACGGTAACTTCCATACCTCCAACTCCGTGAACTACTAATCTGACGTCTTCGCTTCTCAAGTTTAGGTCTTTGGCAGCCTTGTGTGTAATATAATTAGTGTCTGATGCAAGGTCAATTAATGCCCCAATTGTCTGGCCGGCGTTAGCGGAAACATTTAGCACCATCATTATAACTGGATACTCTTGTAGTCCATATTCTGCCAATAGTCCACTCCTCACAGTCTTAGATGTGCTGAGGGTCCTGGATGCAACATTGCAGAATGCTTCACGGCATTGTTGGGCGAGATCTGGTGGCAGTTTGGAAAGGAAGTCCTCTTGAGTTTCAGTGCACGGTTTGCTTTCTGTCCTTTTTGTGATTATTTTTGATCCAATTGTTGGGCACAGAAGATAATGATGCGGGATCTGGTCTTTACATGCTGGATTTTTGCACAGGTAACTGGTGTCTGGGCAGAACTTTCCATCATGCATTCCGAGACATTTTGTACAGGAACCAAGCTGCTTTACTGCTTCCCTTTTCTCAGCTAGTTTAGAAGCCTTGAATTTTCTGCAGTAGTACAGTTTTTTGCTATGCTTGTTATCCCCACAGACAATGCAAGAAGTCTGCCCATTACTGGACTTTGTCATCTTAGTTCTAGCTTGTTTTACTTGGAACTTTGTTTTATCTCTGCTGGAGTCTTCTCGTAGTTGTTCCAACTGCTCATATATTGACTCCTGATTTTTGAGGTACATGTGAAGTTTATCAAAGCGATTCTGAGGAGTTACTGAATTTTTCCTTTCTGCAGCATATGTGAGCCATTCCTTTTTCATCGATTCAGGGAGTTTGCTTTTGATGGATCTTGTGACTAGTGGGTTTTTCATGGCATCCACGTTGTCAAGCTCTGCCAAATCGTATAAAGCTTTTTCTACTGCCTGGATAAGGTCCACGATCCTTCTCGGCTGGTGGCCTCTGACTGAGGGTATGGACTGAAGTTCATCAACAATTTCCAGTGTTATAGCAGCCTGATTTCCATACCGATTCTCTAACACTGTGAAGATTTCATCAGCATCAGCATAGGTGGAAAGCCGCAAATCTCGAATGACTTTATCCTCCAAGCTGTCCAACAGCTGGAACTTCCGCACTTCCTTTGATCCAGAGGGTTCTCCTTGAGTCTGAAGAGCGTCCCATTCCTTTCTCCATCGATAAAAGTCTCGTTTGATTCCGAAGAACTTTGGGAGGGGAGTGGCTTTTAGTTTTATTGTGGCAGCTGGGACACTGTTATTGGACGACTGTGGTCTGTATTCTCCACTCGCTCTATGCGTCGATAAACAGAACTTTCTTTGAGATCAGCCGTGGCAGAGTCAATTCAAGTTCTCTCAGTCTGTTTCTGAAGTTGACTTGCTCGGTTGCAGGGCCCCACCGAATCCACTGTAGGTGGGCATCTTTGGCTGCCTTGATAAGAGCTTCTAGGTGCTTTAGTAAGTGTTCATATGAGTCTACACTCATGTCTTTTGGAGCAGATATCTTTTATTAAGTTTCTAACCTAATTTGACTTCTGCTCATACTCCTGCTCCGTCTTTTCTATGTCAGCCTTTTCCTCTTCTGCAAGCTCTTGTGCGCCCTCTGCGTTATAAGCCGCTTGGAGTTCTTCATTGGCTTCCATGACCTTTGAGCCTTGTAGAGTGAGCTTTTTGAAGCTCTCTTTGAGTTCATCAGCGGACATGTCCACAAATTCACGTCTGACATGATTGATCATACGAGTAAAGAGTCTTTTGGCAGTTTTCCTGTCAGTCCTTAGCTCCTCTATTGGTCTGTGGTCCGCCATTTGTGTCCAGCTTGTGTCCAGCAACTTGGGAATGGTTTGCACCCCCGAACCATACAGCTTTCCCCACTTGACAAGGAAGGACTCTGACACCACCTTAGGCCGGTTTCACTCAGTTTATTGACAAACAGCAGGTGAAAACCTCTTAACACCCGCCTCATTTTGGCTTGTGCACAAAAGTTGGGCATACCCAATGTCTTTGCTTATTTAAAAACACATCTTACATCTCACATGCTTGTGTGATGCATCATTTTAAAGCTAGAGCCTTCTAGTTTATGTAAAAAAACACAAAAATTATTTTTGTAGTTCCTATTTCTCTCTGCATCCTTTGAAGTTTAGGAAAAAAAAACAATTTTTTTAGCCTCGCCTAACATTTTCAATAGGCCCTAAAAAAGGCATACTTCATTGTAAGTTCACAATATTCAAACCCTGTGGTCATTGTGTTGTTGACAACAACTGTCTAAAGTTTCAGACTTCTAAGTTTTATAGTTTTTATGCAGTTTCTCCTTTTCATCAAGCAGTGCACATTTGGCACAATTTGGCACAATTGTGCCAAATGTCTTTACTGACATTTAATCATCATAAAAACAATATTTTTTATTATTGGTACTTATAAGTTACTAATCTATGTGGTTTTTTTTTTTTTTTTTATGTCAAAGTTATTTTTTAATGAGTGTAAATTCATTGCAGCTTTGAGAGCGTCTTTTGGCCGCCAATACGCACAATTCTACAGGCACAACATAAGACAGGACACCATTGTCCCACCCCTTGTTCGAAAGCTTTCCTCTTGGCTACAAGGATATGTCAATCGAAAATCCCGGAAGTAAATGCAAACAAGTTGGGACCACAACAAAGATCAGTGATCCATGCGCAAACAGCAGCGCTAGCTGTACTTACGGGAGCTCTTGCAGACCCAAAAATTGGTCTAGCTTTTCGGGAGTAGTCTCATTTGAAAGATAAGGAGCTAAGGAACACGTAGATACCAGATGTTTGGGTGAAAAACAAACCTAAAAGTCCGTTAAAAGTGAAAGAGTAACATCTGTGCTCTTTTTTTTCGTTTTTTTCGCTAAAGATAAATGCACATTTTTGGATTATTTCTGCAGAATGGATTTTACTTTGGGAAATACAAGTGGATATAATTTTCCTTTGGACTGTTCCAGAGAGAATGATGTATTGCAAGCTGGGAGGAGAGCTGATTTATTTGTACAGCACAAGCCCAAAGGTAAAAAACTATTTCGGAATTGATTTATTTTGTGCCCACATTATGTGTTATATCTTTTGAATGCAAAGTCTGATGTAGTTTACACTTGTATATAAATGTAGATAAGAAAATAAGCTTTAAAATGATATACAGTTTTTGGGGTTTGGTGTTCAAAATATATCTGCTATTGCCAGCAGAACATTTAAAAACATAAAAACGGCACGCCGGCGCGCCGGTGTTAGTTAAGAGAAAGTATTCATATGATTAGTAATAGAAAACATTTTAGGGATTTTTAAATATGTTTTAACTCAATTTTAACATCACTATTTTAAGTGCTTTTTTCTGTTAAAGGCTATTTGCTAATTTAAATGCACACTTATCTAAATGGGTTTCGAAATCAATTGTTTTTAACTAAAGATCTCATTATAATGAATTGTAACAAATTATCATGAACTTTATTCACTGTATTTTGCAGCAAACAATATTTAGATATTTTTACATTCACATTTAACATTACAGAATATAGATTATTTACAGGTATTTTAAACTTCAGTAATTTTTAAACAAGAATAATTGGTCTGTTTTAACCTTTTAAAATTTTACTTAAATCGACTTTTATACTATAAACTATTTTAATATAATTAATTTTTTTAGCTAATAATGATAGAAACTTAAATGTAACTGCTCCATAATGGTCCAATTAGTGCAGTCCAATATTTTAACATAGAACTAGACTGTTAAAATATAGTCTAGTTCTAGACTAGAACTAGTCTAGAAGTTCTAGTCTAGTCTACTATAGGGATATAGTAAACATACAAGTCCATTGCTTATAGTCCGTGGTGAGTAGCGAAAGTTACGCACGGTCTTGAACGCCTCTTGAAGCCTATTTAGAACACTCGCAATACGCGCTATTTCGACCCCGCGCCACATATAATCACATTAAAACAATCATGGGCAGATTAATGCTCACCAGTGGTCCGTATGGGTCGAATCTTGTCCTATATGGCTGTTTTTACGGGCTTTGTTCTACACTTTCTTGGTGCGACGATGTGATAGAGTTTCTCTGAGCGCACACTCTAATTAGGTAAACAGAAGCACCTGAACCCGTGCGTGCAGTGAGCTACAATGACGCGCACGCTCCCTCAATGCGCGCTCCCGACGGGTGCGCACTACACTGATCCCCGCAACAACAACCAAAACAGCTCAAAGACAATCATCATTTGCTCATTTTCAGTAGAAATAAAAAATAAATCAAGAACATTTCCCGAGAAACACAATGGAATATTAAGTGAATCTTCAAATTACAAAATAAAATATGTATTTAAAAAAGAACATGAGCAACTGAAGCAATCTGTAAGGTTCACTTCTTGTTTACTAAATAAACAATTACTTTCCAACATCGGAATTAAAATTTCTTTTTCAAACTTGCAATTTTTCAAATAGAATTTAACAAGCGGTCAATTTTAAGAGCCGTTTTTTCCATGTTTATGCACTTCTTACATTCACTTTTGCCAGGACATCATGTGTCTTTCCACAGCAGCGATCTCATGCTCATCCCACTTCTTTTTTTTTGCTTGGTTGCCGCCCTAGATCAATATATCAAAGTTATAGAAGTGTTTATATTTACATTGTTTGGGCAACCAGCTTCAAAATGTGTCTAGATTTACCTTTTGATCTTTTCAGTCGTATTGTATGTTTGCGTTTGTCATCTGAGCCCTGTGTTGATGTCACCGTGTCCTGTGATGTATTAAAATCGTCTTCTGCTTCCCCATGCTGAGTGAAAATAACAGATTACAGTTTCAAATCATCTCGTCCTAATTGTCCTTTATTTGAAATGTATCTATTACCAATCAACACAAAGTGAATAAAATAAAGATTATGCATCAAATGCTCCTCTTTATTATGATAGTGGACTGTTTAGTAAGAAAACTGAATTTGAGCTCTTAATTTTTAACCAGACTAATACTGAATGATATAATAAAAAATTGTATTATAGTGAAGTGAAATTCATACATACATTGTATATGCTAATACATAATAAAAATAGAAACCTAATTGAATGTTTCAGGATAACACAAGGGCCTCTCACCTTCTTGGTCACTGTCAAAGTTCACAGTATCTGTGGAAGAGAGAAAGGCTATGAGGATGTGGTAGGATTGTTTGAGTAAAACTGTATACATTTAGCAGTAAGAATAAATGAATGTGAATGACAATTTCCTCTGAGCTTTTTCCATTTATCACCTTTATGGATGATTATCTTTGGTACTCTAAAGTACCGCTTTTCCTTCTCTCTGGTGGAACGATTGGCACAGCCAAAAACTGAGGCATTTTGTCAGACGAAGATGTGTGTTTACAATAGGCCTCTCTTCTAGGTTGTCCACCACATGATTTTGCGGGCTTACTAAATTACGGATGTGACGGCAAATAAGACCCTGCTATTATTGGCTGAAACAATGGGCCTCATTCACCAATATCTTCAGAATCTTCCTAAATTTCTTCAAGTCGTTCTCAAGAGATTTCTAAGAAGACTCTACATGGGATTCATCTTAGATTGATGAATGCCAACTCCTCGTAAGTAGAGCAGACGTGCCAGGTGCGTCATTAGCATAGGTACTTGTCTTAGCATAGGTACTTAGCATAGGTAACCCCCCAGCAACATGCCTGATGGCGCGTTCAGACCGGATCATGCGTTGCGTCGCGTTTCAATGCAAAGTCTATGGTGACGCGCGTCGCAGCATCAAAACGCACCGACTTTTCGGCACGCACTTAGGGACCGCTGAGTAGAGCCGCACGGACTTGGCGGGAAAGTGAAAGGGGAGGAGCAGGAGCGGAAAATGGACGCCCACAGGAGATAAACTTTGCTCAACTTTTCCTCGGGACATTTGTGCAGCGACCAATCAGAGAGCTGCAAAGTGGTCACGGGGACATTGGTGGTCTGAGCGAGCAGACTGAACATACTGTAAACGGCCAAAACAGGAGCTACACCAGGACTAAACCAGGGTTGACAATGGGGGACTGTGTGCTTGTGAATGTATGCGTTGTCATGCTCCTGTGACTTTATCAATCAATCAATCAAATCTTTATTTGTAGAGCACATTTAAAACAGCCTAGGCTTACCAAAGTGCTGAACAGACAGCGAGGAAAAATTATAAAATAAAAACACATAAAATACAGAAATGTATATACAAAAAGAAATCGAAAAATTTGTCTCTGTCTACTTGGTAGTAAAAGCCAAAGAAAAAAGATGCGTTTTAAGCAGGGATTTAAAGTGCTCGAGTGATTGTGCAGTTCTGATGTGCAAAGGTAAAAAGTTCCACAACTTTGGCCCTATAACAGAGAAAGCTCTGTCTCCTCTGGTCTTCAGCCTGGTCCTAGGGACGACAAGAAGGTGCTGATCTGCAGAGCGCAGTGCTCTGGAGGGAAGGTGAGGCTGGAGGAGTTCATATAAATAAGAAGGTGCCATTCTATTAAAACTTTTAAAAACGATAATACGAATTTTAAAATGAATTCTAAAATATACCGGGAGCCAGTGCAGGGATTGCAAAACAGGAGTGATGTGCTCCCTGCGCTTTGTCCCTGTTAAAAGACGGGCTGCTGCATTTTGCACTCCCTGTAAGCGGCTGAGCTGGGCCTGGTCAATGCCGACATAGAGAGTTACAATAATCAAGCCTGGAAGTGATAAAAGCATGAATGGCCTTCT